GTATTGAGAGTCTAGCACAAGGAAAAACTATAGCATGAAAGGTGATAGGCAGAGTACTAAATAAGTTCAGAAAAAGAAAAGAGTTTGAGGATACTATTCGAAGAAATCGCTTAAATATTGGGAGTTGGTTAAAATATGCTGCTTGGGAAGAAAGCCAAAAGGAGTTGAATCGGTATTAACATTTCTGTATTAATGTGGTCAATGTTTTGAATTATACTCCCATTTGTTAACTTTTTATCATTTGCTTAGGGCGCGTTCAGTGTACGAAAGAGCACTCGACGTGGATTCTCGAAATGTAACTCTTTATATTAAATATACAGAAATGGAAATGAAAAATCGTAATATAAATCATTCGAGAAACTTATTTGATCGTGCTGTAACTTTACTACCGCGGGTAGACCAATTTTGGTAAATATTCTTTGATTCAGTAGTGATTTTGTATGAACCGTCTAATTGTTTATAACTTGTAAAGGTATAAATACACTTATATGGAAGAAATGTTGGGTAATGTGGCAAATGCTCGCCAAATTTTTGAACGATGGATGCAATGGGAACCTGATGAATCAGCGTGGAATGCGTATATAAAAATGGAAAAAAGATATAATGAGATTGATAGAGCCAGAGCAATTTATGAAAGATTTGTTAATGTACACCCAGAACCCAAAAATTGGCTTAAATGGATAAAATTTGAAGAAGAGCAAAATAATTTAGGTATTTCATTAGTGCTTCTTATTTTAATCATAATTATTTTTTTGATTGACCGGAATTTCAATTAATGCATTTCAGAAAAATGTAGAGAAATATTTAGTCAAGCAATTGAAACATTGGGTGACGATCATATGGATCAAAAAATTTTTATTGCTTTTGCGAAATTTGAGACTAGACTAAAAGAGGTTCGTTAACAAGAGTGCTTTATATTAATTAATATTAAAATAACAAAATAAATTTTAGCACAATTTAATATTCTAGTTTGAAAGAGCTCGAGTCATTTATAAGTATTCTTTGGAAAAACTGCCTCGATCAAAATCTGAATCGCTTTATAATGCATATACACAATTTGAAAAGCAATACGGAGACAAAGATGGAATTGAAGATGTCGTCGTTGGGAAACGAAGGGCACAATATGAAGAGGTATACTTCAATCTAACTTTAACCACATTATATTTGCCTATACATACTATTTACGATTTAACTCACATCATAATAGGAATTAAAAACGAATTCAAAGAATTATGATATATGGTTTGATTATGCACGATT